TGTCCCCCAGCCCGGGCGTTGCCCTCCCCTCTGCCCCCCGCGACCTGGTCCCTGTCCTAGTGTCCAGCCGATTTGTGCGCCTCAGCTGGCGCCCCCCGGAGGAGAGCGGAGGAGCCGTGCAGACTTATGGAATTTATTACTCTCAAGACGGAGTCCAGAGGTAAGATGGGATTATTTGTATTGGTCTCTGTTTGGTCCGATTCTCCCTCTCTGGCAGTGGTCCAGCCTGGAGGTCCAGACACAAACCTACGGACTTCCTTTGAATTTAGGCATTTTGCTAGGAAATTAATTTGGTCTTAGGGCAATGTATTGAGTCAACTGAAGTTTTGACATGATGATAGTCCCAGAATGAAAGTCAGGGGATAATCAAACTTATCACAACTCATCTTGAGGGGGACATTTGTTGCTGGTACTACATTTCACTGAAATCTACTCAATAGTGAGACTCGGGCTTCCCATTATTAGTCGTCTAATCACTAGTCGACTAATAAAGTCTTAATCGAGCAATTTTTAATTAGTCGAATATTTAAAAAAAAAAAAGGTATATAAAAAACAAAGACAAATAAAGAAGCTCCATCCGTGCGCTGCATGTGCTATGACACGTCAGCTGGAAACCCTCAGACTTCATAAAGAGCTGTGTCTGGTCATTAAGTTAATTTGGTCGGGCAGGAAATCCAAAGTGTCGATCTTTCTGAGCATGTAAAGGACATGTAGACTACGACGGCAAAAAGTCTCCTCCATATCCACACCATCAGAGCGCAGAAAACAACAAAACACAGCTTAATTATCGCGACAACGTGTGTTACTTCCTCAGACTCGTTGTAAAACAGCAGCAGTGAGTCAGGCAGTAGCCTAGCTTTGTATCAACATATAGAGACCTATAATATATTGTAACGGACTGGTTATAATGTTGATGTTTTCATGTGTTTCATTGTTCAGAGTTTATTTACATTTTTACAGAATGTCAGCGAACATGTCACTATTTTTGAAAGACAGTTTTTTTGGCTTGTGGCTGTGAGGTGAGTGATAGAGTGTCGTCTGATTGGTTGGGTGTCAAATTCCTAGTGGGAGGGAGGAGGAATGCTACAAGAGAGCTGAAGGAGTCGGGTGAGAATATGGATTTAACCGAATGATTTCATTGTTTTTGTCACGATCACAGGTACAGATCAGAACCCAATAGCACGACTCAGATACAACCAGTGTATAGCAATGTTCAGTTTATTCAGGTCAGGGACAGGCAGGGTCAAAACCAGTAAATCCATCAGACAGGCAACCAAAACCAGACAGGGAGCAGGCAGGAACTCGAGATCCGTAAACAGGCAGGCAGGGATCAAAAACCGGGCAGGACAAAAATCTAGGCTAGAATACAACACTCACTGGAGAGCTTGGCGGAAACGACAAGACAATCTGGCAAAGGACAAGTGATAGTGAGGTGGTATAAATACTGTGGAGTGATGAGGGAATGAGTAACAGGTGAGGGGAAGGGCTGGGGAGACCAGGTGAGGGAAGTGAGCTGATTACAAGGGCCTGGAGGAAGGCGGGATCTGAAATGACAGGAGAGTTTAGTTGAGCCACCAAACAAACAATATTACATTACATTGCATTTAGCTGACGCTTTTATCCAAAGCGACTTACAATAAGTACATTCGACCAGGAAGACACAACCTTGAAGAAAACAGAATCATATAAGTACATCAGGTTTCATAGAGCCAAACATTTCAAGTGCTACTCAACTGGCTTTAGGTAAGCCAGTCCTTTATTAGTATAAAAGTGCTTCGTTAATAGTTCTAACGCTCGAAGTGGAGTCGAAGATGTTTGCGCCTGAAGATGTGCAAGCTATCTGCCGTCCTGATGTCAATGGGGAGCTCATTCCACCATCTTGGAGCCAGGACAGCAAACCCACGTGTTTTCGCCGATGGGAACTTGGGTCCCCCTCGCAGCGAGGGCGCAACGAGTCGTTTGGCTGATGCAGAGCGTAGTGCACGCGCTGGGGTGTACAGTTTAACCATGTCCTGGATGTAGGAAGGGCCAGATCCATTCGCAGCATGGTAAGCAAGTACCAGTGTCTTGAAGTGGATTCTAGCAGTTACCGGAAGCCAGTGAAGGGAGCGGAGGAGCGGAGTGGTGTGGGAGAATTTAGGAAGGTTGAAGACCAGACGAGCCGCTGCATTCTGGATGAGCTGCAGAGGTCGGATGGCACATGCAGGTAGACCAGCCAGGAGGGAGTTGCAGTAGTCTAGGCGTGAGATGACGAGAGCCTGGACCAGAACCTGAGTCGCTTTCTGAGTCAGCTGGGGACGTATCTTCCTGATGTTGTAAAGCGTGTATCTGCAGCAACGAGTTGTAGCAGCGATGTTTGCAGTGAAGGACAGGTTGTTATCTAGGGTCACACCCAGATTCCTTGCAGTCTGAGTCGGGGAAACAACTGAGGTGCCGATGTTGATTGTTAGGTCAAGAGTGGGACAATCTTTTCCCGGGAGGAAGAGCAGCTCAGTATTGTCAAGGTTGAGCTTGAGGTGGTGAGCAGACATCCACTGAGAGATGTCAGCTAGACAAGCAGAGATGCGTGCAACGACCTGGGTCTCTGAGCAGGGAAAGGACAGAATTAATTGGGTGTCATCAGCGTAGCAGTGGTAAGAAAAACCATGCGGGCTAATGACTGATCCGAGCGAGTTTGTGTACAGGGAGAAGAGGAGGGGACCAAGAACAGAGCCCTGAGGGACGCCCGTAGTTAATTGACAAGGGTCGGACTCAGACCCTCTCCAAGTCACCCTGTAGGTACGGTCTTTCAGGTATGAGGTGAGGAGGGAAAGTGCAGAGCCTGAAACTCCAAGTTTTTGGAGAGTGCGAAGGAGGATCTGATGATTCACCGTGTTGAATGCAGCAGACAGGTCCAATAGGATGATGACAGAGGAGAGGGATGCAGTTTTGGCAGTGTGCAGTTCCTCCGTGACAGCAATGAGAGCAGTTTCTGTGGAGTGACCTGCCTTGAAACCAGACTGGTGCGGATCCAGAAGGTTGTTCTGATTGAGATAACAGGAGAGTTGTTTAAAGACAGCGCGTTCAAGTGATTTAGACAGGAACGGGAGGAGAGAGACAGGCCTGTAGTTTATAACATCAGACGGGTTGAGAGTGGGTTTCTTTAGGAGAGGGTTTACTCTTGCCTCCTTGAGACTGTTTGGAAAGTGACCAGAAGTTAGAGAAGTGTTGATGAAATGGGTGATAATAATAGAAGTGTCTAACTTGTGACAGAACCCCCCCCCCCCTCTATGGATGGCTCCTGACGTCCCACGTGGTTGATCGGGATGAGCCTGGTGAAAGTCAGTAATGAGAGATGGGTCAAAGATACTGCGAGCAGGCACCCATGAACGCTCTTCAGGGCCATAACCCTCCCAGTGTACCAGGTACTGCAACCCTCTACCACGTCGCCGGGACTTGATGAGGCGACGGACAGTGTAAACAGTCTCCCCGTCGATAGTCCGGGGTGGTGGTGGGGGTCTAGAGGGGGGCTGAAGAGGGCTCACATTAACTGGTTTGATCTTGGACACATGGAAGGTAGGATGAATCCTCATAGAAGGGGGCAGACGCAGGCGGACAGCTGCAGGATTGATGACCCTAGCTATGGAAAATGGGCCTACAAAACGGGGAGACAACTTCTTTGACTCAACTCTGAGAGGGAGATCCCGTGTGGAGAGCCAGACACGTTGCCCTGGGGAGTACTGTGGAGCTGGCTTGCGACGGCGATTGGCGGTCCGTTGATAACGGTCGGAAGAGCGCAGGAGCGCGGAGCGGGCCTTTAACCACATGCGTCGACATTGGCTTACAAACGCCTGTGCAGATGGGACGCTGGCCTCACGTTCCTGTGCCGGGAAAAGGGGTGGCTGGTATCCGCGGGAGCATTGGAATGGAGAAAGACCAGTAGCAGAACTAGGAAGGGTGTTGTGGGCATACTCAACCCATAGAAGCTGCCTCGACCAGGAGGAGGGAGTGGAGGAGGCTAGACAGCGTAAGGCAGTCTCCATCTCCTGGTTCATTCGCTCTGCTTGACCATTGGACTGGGGATGAAATCCGGACGAGAGACTGACACTGGCTCCCAGCAGCCTGCAAAACTCGGACCAAAAACGAGAAGTAAATTGTGGTCCCCGATCAGAGACAACGTCACTGGGGAGACCATGCAGCCTGAACACATGTTGTAGCATGATTTCAGCCGTTTCCTTGGCAGTAGGTAATTTGGTTAATGGAATAAGCAGAGCAGACTTGGAAAACCGGTCTATGACTGTGAGTATGACTGTGTTACCGTCTGAGGGTGGTAGTCCAGTGACAAAATCCAAGGAGATGTGGGACCAGGGACGATGAGGGATAGGCAAGGGATGAAGAAGACCGGAGGGAGCTTGGCGTGAAGTCTTATTTTGGAAGCAGACTAGGCAAGCAGCAATGAATTCCTTGGTATCCTTCTCCATGGAAGACCACCAAAATCGCTGTTGAATCAGGGCTAGGGACCGTCTCACTCCTGAGTGACAAGCCAGGCGAGAGTTATGACCCCACTGGAGAACCTGGGTACGGAGAGTGGCAGGAACAAACAGACAGTTAACAGGACAGGCACTTGGGGCTGGGTGTTCAGCATGAGAGCGCTTGACCTTATCCTCTACCTCCCAGGTCACCAGACCAATGACACATGTAGAAGCGATGATATTCTCAGTATGAGATGGAGAGCTCTCTGGCTGGAACTGGCGAGACAGGGCGTCAGGTTTGATGTTCTTAGAACCAGGTCTGTATGAAAGAGAAAAATCAAAGCGTGTGAAAAACAGAGCCCACCTGGCTTGACGAGAGTTCAGCCGCTTAGCTGAACGGATGTACTCCAAATTGTTGTGGTCAGTCCAGACCACAAAAGGCTGCTCTGCTCCCTCCAACCAGTGTCTCCATTCTTCCAGGGCAAGTTTCACTGCCAACAGTTCTCGATTTCCAATGTCATAATTCCTTTCCGCTGGGGACAGCTTTCGAGAGAAGAAGGCACACGGGTGCATCTTCTGATCCTCGGCCGACCGTTGAGAAAGAACTACCCCAACTCCAGTGTCCGACGCATCTACCTCTACAGTAAACTGCCGTGTAGAATCTGGAAAAATCAAAATAGGAGCAGAGGTGAAGCGTGACTTTAACTCC